AGTGGCGCTGGGGCAGGTTTTCTCCGAGTACTTCGGTATCCCCTGCCAATCTTCATTCCACCAGTTGCTCCACAATCACCCTCACCTATCATCTGGGGCTGGTACAATAGGTCAGAAGTGACCACAGTACAAGGGACTTAGTCCCACCCCACTGGCATTAAAAAAAGTCTGTTTTACATACATTTCCATCTTAAATGCAATGTATTATATAGTCACCCTTCTTCCACATTACATGGTTTGGCTGTATACGGCCATCATCAGGTTTCTTCTATCTTGCTAAAATAGTTGTACTGTATGTTAAAAATTCGTATTGCATGTGAACATGATATTTTGTGATTAAAATAAATTGACTTTAATTAAAACTAATTAACATCCCAATATTTTCCTTGCGGTCATTCTCCTCTCTTAGGCCGTCACAGCTATCACCATATTATGACGGTCAGTATTATTATCTTCCATTGTGGAAGGAAAGTGCATGAAAGTAAAGAAGAATATAATCATGCATTACGTCAGGCGGACATGTCCACTTAAGATGATGTGAGCAACTACTAAAACATAAGTTTCCTCAGCGTGCCCATGTTAATCTGGAAACCAGTTGTGTGCTTGAAATCGCGATTTTTCACGGAAATTGTGGTTAAATTGCAGTTTGCCAGTTTCCTTGGTGTGCCCTCTCCCTAAGAGAAATGTTTTTCCAGCCTCCCTTGAGGCACAACCAACGAGTACCAAGCCAGTTCAGGCTCCTAATGTAAACAGTTCGTCTCTCAGTGACAGGTTCGAAGTAGTCATAACAGTATTTCAGCAGGTCATGACAGAAAACATAATAGTGGTCATCACAAAAATTGTATTAAAATTCATGATGCAGGATGGCTGCTTGAGTTCATAGGTGCCTCAAAATTGTGGCATTCAGTGCGAAAGACATTAGAAGGCAGAGCCATGAGTCCAGCAGAAGCAAAAGTTACACAAAGATGTGACCCTGTTTCAGAGACACATTTAATACCTCACGAGAGGAGTCTTTTTTTTTTTCTTTCTTTTCTTCAAATTATCGCATTTATCGGACTGACCGTTATCCTGATAGGAAAAGCAGAACTGCCGTTTCAGTTATAAAAGTCATTACACACAACCATGCAGACTTGCTTCCCCTTGTTTGAGTTGGAAGTTATAGCAGTCTGCATACCAGCTGATAATAGTGAAATATTCCTTGCAGTTATGTATATGTCTCCAGGGTTGTACCTTGACTGATGCAGACATAATTGAGCTCTTAAAATTTAGATACGAGTCCATAGTAGCAGGCGATCTGAATGCTAAACTTCCATTTTGGAATAGTGTGGTTTCTAATCCTTCATGCAAGAAACTTTAGAATTTATTTGATGTGGAAAATTTGCCTGATCAGTCTATTATTGTACACGTTCACAAGAAGGGTGATAAAACTGACTAGTAATTATTGGGAGATATCACTGCTATCACCTTCATACAAAATTGTATCCAATATTCTTCTTTCAAGGTTAAGTCCATGTATAGACGGAATTATTGGGGGTCATCAGTGTGGGTTTCAAAATAACAGATCAACTACAGATCAGATCTTTTGCATTCGTGAGATATTGGAGAAAAAATGGGAGTACAATGAGACAGTACATCAGCTATTCATAGACTTCAAGAAAGCCTATGCTTCATTTAGGAAGGAAGTGTTGTACAATATTCTGATAAGAGTTTGGGATACACATGAAACTGGTTAGGCTAATTAAAATGTATTTAAATGAAACATATAGTAAAGTCCATATAGGTAAACATTTGTCTGATAAATTTTCTATCCAGAATGGTCTAAAACAAGGAGATGCTTTATCTTTGCCCCTTTTCAACTTTGCTTTAGAATATGCCATTAGGAAGGTCCAGGAAAACCAAGTGGGATTGAAATTAAATGGGACATATCAGCTGTTGATCTATGCCGATGATGTGAATCTGCTGGGTGATAACATAGATACCATAAAGAAAAACACACAAACTTTAATTGGCACAAGTAAGGAGGTTGGTCTAGAAGTAAATACTGAGAAAACTAAGTATGTGTTGCTGTCTTGTCACCAAAAATGCAGGGCAAAATCAAGACATAAAGATAGGAAACAGATGTTCTGAAAATGTGGCACAGTTCAGATATTTGGGGACAACAATAACAAATCAAAATCTGATTGAGGAGGAAATTAAGAGGAGATTGAACTCACGTAATGCTTGCTACCATTCAGTCCAGAACCCTTCCTCTTCTCATCTGCTCTCCAAAAACATAAAAATTAGGATATACAAAACTATGATTTTGCCTGTGGTTCTGTGTGGGTGTGAAACTTTGTCTCTGACATTAAGGGAGGAACATAGACTGAGAGTGTTTGAGAACAGAGTGTTGAGGAAAATATTTGGACTGAAGAGAGATGAAGTGACAGGAGGTTGGAGAAAACTGCATAATGAGGAGCTTCATAACTTCTACTCTTCTCCAAGTATAATTAAAATGATCAAGTCAAGGCGGCAGAGATGTGTAGGGCGTGTAACACGAATGGGGGAGATGAGAAATATATGTAGGGTATTGGTGGAAAAATCAGAAGAGATGAGACCACTTGGAAGACCAAGGAGTGGGTGGGTGGATAGCATTAAAATGGATCATAGAGATATTATATTTGAGCATCCTGTTACACTCACACAATATATATGAGATAAATACCGTCTTAAGTGTAACAATTTAATATAGTTCTTTCTTCTTTTTTCTCTCCTCCACACTACATGTTTCGGCCCTAAATGGCCATCATCAGGTGTGTATTCTTACGTAGCTGTTACACTGCCTGTTAAAATTTAAAATCACCAGTCTTTCTAATTGTATATAATCTTTGTTAACCTACACGCGTTAATTTGATTTCTAAAATTAGCACTTTTTTAAAACTTTAATTCAAGTTAAAATGTCTATAAGATTTCTGTTCTTTTTCTTTTTCAAATT